GGAATATAACCTTGCACTATGATTTCTTTCAGAACTGCTTGATTAACTTGGCACAACTTGATTAGCACTTGTTCGTTCTTAAACATTTCCCTGAGGCAAAGAGACGATTTTTGTTTCTTTTATGTTTTCGTTGACTTTTATTCTTAGGCTTCGACGATCCCAGAATCAGATTGTGTTGATTATGAGAGTGACTCGTTATAGTGCAAGGGGTGTTAATGTAGCACAGGAATTCTCTGCGTAAATTGCAAAATTCAGAAGCCAAATGGAAATTGTTCCTCTTTTTTAATCGTTTGGATGAATTGAAAATAATGTGTTCATATTTTTCAATTGTTTTAATCGTTCTGTTGACTTAAATGTTACTTACCCTTTTTTTCTACTGAAATGAATCTTACATTGGCGCCGTTATAATGGTCAATCTTTGTTTGTAAGATAATAATGCTTCATTCGCATTGTACAGTCTCCGTAAAAAGATTTTATTTGAATAATAAAGCTATAAACTTTCTAAAAATAGTAATAACCAGTGAGTGCTAGTGATAATAGCGAGCAGCAGAATAAGATATTTTTGTAACAATGTAGTTGAAAATGAAATTATGTTGAAAACACAATAAATAAGTAGGTGACTTGAAAGTTACATCGAAATTACATCGGCAGCGGGACAGCCGATTTTCTTGCGAACAGTTGAAATTTTCGATATGAATCGAGAATCGTTAATTATATTTAAGTTAGTAAATTTTAGTCATATTAAATTAGTAAAAGTAAAAGTAAAAGTAAATTAGTAAAAGTAATTATATTAAACTGTAATTTCTTCTCGCTCAGATTGCGCACAAAAATGGACAATTTGGGAAGAAGAGATGCGATCATTCGAGCCTCGAGTCTTTTTTTTGTAGTTGTCGACAATCAATAACGATAAAAATAATCGTATCTCCTCTTCCTAAATTATCCATTTAGGCGCGCAATCTGAGCGCGAATTATAGAAAAATGACTATGACCCAAAATCTTGGGACTTAAATATAAAATATCGATATTTTTCGGTTGTTTCTATAAAAACATTTACATTAGGGGTGGCCAAAGCGTCGTCCGCGGTCTACTGGTCGACCGCCTGTCCGATACTATCTATGTTTATTTTAAATTTAAACTCATTTTCGCCTGTAAATAATTACTCTTCTCATGATCACTTAACACACACGATGTTGGTATACCGTGACTATAATCTAAAAGAAACAGGTCGCCGGTAGTGATCGAAAGTTTGGCCACCCCTGGTTCATACAAACCAAAATACGAAAATACCGCTATGAAAAAGAATTGTCCATTTTTGTCTCCAAGCTGAGGGTCAATTAGGCAGAAATTATTCTACGTTGCTTAAAGTTTCGAGGAGCCGACATTTAGGGTGTCTGAAAGGGTCGACGTTGATGAACACTTTTCTAGGACAAACAACGCGAGTTGGTGTTACAGCTGGTGGTGACAAAAATTGTCAAAATTTTTTGTCGGCGATGCGAAACGAATGGGGGTGGGCGAAGCTTTTACACCGTAACAGCCGATTACAACGCCTAATAACCTTGCTACTTGACTGATATACACTACTTACTGCAGAGTGGAAAGTTGCGAGTTTGAAAGCTACTTTGACTATAGAGTGCGAGGGAAGGAGAGCAAGTGGCGCCAGGAGGTAGGGGTGTAACGAAGTTCCTTAACGAGGCTACCCATTTTGTCGACTTAACTTGATCGATAACTACGTGCCTACACCCTGCTTTTCAGGCACGAAGACCGACACGTCATCGCACGGGATGCGAAATGTGAATTACTCTCTTGTTCGGTTGCCAAATGATACGGCGATGATTGCCGCGGAACACCGAGAAGTATAAGGTGTCCGTGCCTTTCCGATCCGCGGCACCGGGGCCACTTTTTTGTTGCAACTTTTCGCGAGTCGATTTCACAAACGGGGCCTCCTCTTGTTCCAATTAACGTGCACCGTGTCACGGGAAAAGTAAACTTTTAAGCTTCACGCGTTTTCTCGCTTTCGTTTAAACTTCTCAAGCGCCATAGCTTTCACTCCGTGCCGACAGGCTGACGGGCTGACAAAATTACAAATAAATTGTTCGGTTATTAGCCGCATGTGTACATATATGTACAGCTTGGAATTTGAAAGGGGAAACTTTCAGAAGCTGTTGGTCACTTTCCGCTTTTTCGTCGGATGGGATTACAATTTGTATTTGGACCACGATCACGCAAAAACTATGTTACATTTGCAACAATAAGTTTTATGTTAAAATGTGATCCAGTTATCCGATATTATTTAGCCACGGTATTCTCGGTTTACGACAGATAATGTTTGAGTTATTTATAAAATAAAAACTACTCTGGGGAAAGTGTCGGTTGTAAAAAAAGAGTCGCGATTGCAACGCGATGTTTTTAAAAAAATTATGCTATTTATTAAACTGGATTGCAGTAAAATCTGAGATAATTGGGATCGTACAATAAACACGAAATATTAATCTTTGTAATTACATTTATTCTTATTTTTATTTTCTCACCATGTCTTTTTTTATAATTCTTTGTTTTATTTTCTGACCACGGCTGTGGATTGAGATTACAATATTCGCTAGCTAAATGCTTGAGAACGTTAAGTTTTAATCAGCTTTACACTTGAAAGGCTCAACTTAAAGATTTGCAGAAAAAGAAACGTCATTACTTGCGCATTAAATAAGTAATCGTAATTTTAAGGGTTAAAGAAAAAGTTACTTTAGGCTATCGAAAAGTCATTTTGGTTGGTATATCTGTTAATTGCTCGTTATTATTAAACAATAAAGTATATATATGACCTTTCACTCTTTTATACCGTAAGGAAGTGGATGAAGCGACGATGTNTTGTATGCCCAAAATGGAGCTTTCGAGTAGACGTTTGCCATAAAGGAAATTTTTGCAAAAATAAATAGATCATTTAAATTTTTATTGCTAATGCAAATTTTAATTTATTTATAGAAGTTATATTATAGAAGTTTTATATAATTTATATAAATCTTATCTCTTTATAGAAATTATCAATTGTATGCCCAAAATGGAGCTTTCGAGTAGACGTTTACCATAAAGGAAATTTTTGCAAAAATAAATAGATCATTTAAATTTTTATTGTTAATGCAAATTTTAATTTATTTATAAAAGTTATATTATATTATAGAAGTTACACATATTATAGAATTTTTATATAATTTATAATATAATATAAATCTTATCTCTTTATAGAAATTATCAATTGTATGCCCAAAATGGAGCTTTCGAGTAGACGTTTACCATAAAGGAAATTTTTGCAAAAATAAATAGATCATTTAAATTTTTATTGTTAATGCAAATTTTAATTTATTTATGGAAGTTATATTATAGAAGTTTTATATAATTTATATAAATCTTATCTCTTTATAGAAATTATCAATTGTATGCTCAAAATGGAGCTTTCGAGTAGACGTTTGCCATAAAGGAAATTTTTGCAAAAATAAATAGATCATTTAAATTTTTATTGCTAATGCAAATTTTAATTTATTTATAGAAGTTATATTATAGAAGTTTTATATAATTTATATAAATCTTATCTCTTTATAGAAATTATCAATTGTATGCTCAAAATGGAGCTTTCGAGTAGACGTTTGCCATGAAGGAAATTTTTGCAAAAATAAATAGATCATTTAAAGATCGCCTATGTGGAAAATAAATTTGATTTCACAGTTTGCGAAAGTCTCTCCGTTTGTGCCAATTAATCTGACAAATTTATTCGGACTTAATCTGCGTGTGTCGTGATTAAGATAAGAGGATGAGTAATTTGGTATTGCAAATTTATCTTCGAAGATGGAATGGAACGCACGTGATCGTTCACGGTGACTGCGTGCCATTGCATACACGCACTACAGCTAGTTCTACATCTAGACTTCGCTTTACACTTTCCTGGCCAACCGTGGCGTATTGTTGCCAGCGAACGGTAAAAAAACGGAAAAGAAAAAAAGTACCGTGTAACATCAAAGAAGCCATTAATTTACTTTTTTCTTTTTTTTTTTAAAGTAATCCACGCGAATGAACTTGGAAAATGCGAGCGGTTTGAAACTATGTGTACAATAGGTAATTACTGAAATAATTTGCGCTCGGCTACTTATGTAATCTCTGCATGTACGATGCCGTTGTCACTTTTCCTACATAAAATAACCTTGTCGACGCGATCTCGCATAGGATCAGTATAACTTTGAACTAAATAGCTTTTTTTACTTTAAAGAAAACAGTGTTTTTAAACTAAATAATTTAAAAATAGGAGTTAGGGTTAATCTGTGATTCAGAATAATATGGAATTGTAATTATACAAATGGAATTGGTATTTTTAAGTTTCGTTGACTCGATGATCTGTCAAGTCATCGAAGCAACCGTGTGAAAAATATATTAGTCATAAATTGTCATAAATAGTCTAAATTGTCATAAATTTATTCCAGTTCAAAGCAGCAATAGCGCGTGTAGATCTGCAAGATTATGGCTTCCTTTGATAAATAAGTGTCCAACGCATATTATTTTTCTGCTAAATTGATTTCATATCGAATCGCTAAATTATTGGAAATTTTTGAGTAAGCTTCGTGCGAATTAAATGTTTATTAGCAGCAATATATAGATAATAAACATTTAATTCGCACGAATCTTACTCAATAATTTCCAATAATTTAGCGATTCGATATGAAATCAATTTAGCAGAAAAATAATATTCGTTGGACACTTATTTATCAAAGGAAGCCATAATCTTGCAGATCTACACGCGTATATACACCATATACATACATACTACGGCTTTCATTTTTGAAAGTTTTGATCTTGTCGCATTACAACCATAACGATCAGGATTTGAGGAGTTCCATTCGACAGAAACTGTCGGGAAATGGAATTAATTCGCAGGAAAGTAGTTCGCAGTTGGTCTAATTGTAAGTAATCACGCGAAGGGATTACTACGTTCGACACGGGTGACGAATGAAAAGAGTTCATTTTAGGCGATTCTGCCACGAACTTTCGAAACAGTGTGATTTATATATTACACAATAACAATCTCTAAACAAAGCTTCCAAAGGTCCTCTGGCCTCCGTGTTTGGACACATTTTCCATCTCTCGTCGATCTCTCGTTGTTCCAACTACTCGTCTCTCCGTGTCCAACCTATAAAACGATAAAAAATCACGTACGACGACAAGATAAACATAAACCTGTTTAAATAGCCTTTCAGGAAATGAAGAACCCGCTGCAATTTCGGCAGCAATTTCGTTCAGCCCTTTGCGCTCGAGTGGCGACACCGAGGCGCCGCTAAGAATTGTTACGCCGCGTCTCAAAATAATTTTATCAAATTTGTTTACATCTAAAGAACTAAAGAGGTCGCAATAGTTCACGATATATTCAATTTCACATGCACAAAATGCACAAGGTCATGTAAACTGTAAAAACCATGGATCGGTAAAACTATCTTGAATTTCTCGTAAAAATTCGGCTTCGAGTGCGAAGGGTTGAAACAAGATTACTCGCGTGGTTCTCGCGGATGGCACGCTACCGATCGATCCGCCGTTTCAAACAAATCCATCAAATTACGAGACAATCAATTTCGCAGGATCTGCGCCGCGCAAGCGGGCCGCTCGAGATCGCGCGGATATTTATCAAAGAATTTCGGCGGCGATAAACACGTCTCTCGATACGCAATCCGTATCACGTCCGCGGCACTCTTAAATTTCTTGGCGCTGGAGCACGAAAGACGCATGGGGTGCAGTTTCGAGTGACCGTTGTTCGTGTGCGTCAGCGTAGCCGAAAAGTGGAGCGTGCCGGCGGGTGGGACTTTATCTCTATTTCCGAGCAGACGTTCGGCAGAGAGGGGGGAAGGGCAGAGCACGAGGAAATACCTGAACTTGGCGTGTCTCGCATGTTCCGCGAGGGTGTTGGCGCGTACACATTCATTCAGGACGGATGCGTACACGCACCCTTTCCTCTGCCTCGCCTCGCGTTCCCCGCCCCTCTCTTCCGGTTCTGCACCATCCCGAAGAGCGCGTAGGCGGCGGCGGTGGCGGCGGCGGCAGTGGCGGCAACGGTGGCGTCGGCGGCGTCGGCGGCGGTGGCGGCAGCGGCAGTGCTAGTGGTGGTGGTGGTGGTGGTGGTAGTGGTAGTGGTGGTAGTGGTGGTAGTGGCGGCGGCGGCGGCGGCAGCGACGGCGGCGGACACATCAATAATTACCCATGGCAGCGAGGGGATGGCAAGACGCGAAGCGGGACGTCAGGGGTGGATGAGGCTAGAGAGGTAGGAGGACGGGAGAGGAAGGCTAGAGGTAGGATGGTGGGAAGAAGAGGAGGTGGAGGCAGAGGAAAGAGGAGTCTCGGGTCAACCGGGGTCAAGTCGCGCTACCAGACGCAACCCGCTCTCTCACCCGGCATCCCCCGCTGCCCCTCTCTTATCCAGACGACCCTGCCAACCCCCTGCCTTCCTCCTTCTCCTCCTCCTCCGCCGCCACCTCCTCCTTCTCCGCGTCCTATCCAAACCTCTGCCCACTTCCACGCTCGCCTCCTTCTACCCCCAGGGGGTGGCCACCCCGGTGGTCACCCATCCAGCCAACCTTTCACGCACGCACCGTTAGTGTGCGTCTCTGACCTCCGCTCCGCTCTGCTCCGCTCGGCTCCGCTCCCAACCCCCGCGACTTATCGCTAGATTTTCCTTATTACTTCGAGCCGTTTTCGGCGATGCCCCGGCCGACGATTTACTTCGAACCGATCGCTTATTGTTCGTTGCGAGGCCGACCTCGGTCCGGCGATCAAACGGAAACCGACCGGTCGATCGCATTAAGCGACCGCGTTCCCGTTCGACTCGCCGATTTCTACGACGCTTCGAGGGCTGAAAATTATTCGGAAAGCGATCGCGACGGAGGAGCGTTCGACAAGCGTCTCTCCGTCGTTTCCACGCTCTCCGACGCTTCTCCGTCGTTTTTTACGGGACGATCGGCTCTGTTTCAGCCGACTCGCGCTGAAATCTAGTAGAAGGAGCGAACTTTTGGGAACGAAGCAGCCGTCTCGTAAAGAACGGGCCGCGCATTCCGCGATCACCGTTCCACGGATTTCAGGGCCTGTTAACAGTCGCGCGCTTTACGGCAGTGTAAAAATTTCAAGCATCACCGTTACGTCACTCTTAAAATATCGCCGGGGACCGGCGTAAAAGACACGGGTTCCGGCGGCCGGAAGCGAGTTTAAAGTTTCAAGTCGGCCGCGTTTCTGTACTCGGGGCGCGCTCTGAAGATTTCCGCGAAGCCGATGCTCCGTTTTCTGCTAATTCACCGAGCGTTTCTACGTTTTCGGGAGAACGTCGGCCGGGGGGAAATCAATCCTTTCCGCATCGACGGTGTCGCGACGCGGCGGTTTCCTTTCGTTCGGTCTCTGGGAATTCGATGTAATCGTGGATGTAATCGTGGTTCGTGCGAACTATTGTTCTAATACGCAACCGGCCGGCTTCGTTTCTCCGCGAAAATGACAGCGGCGAGCTTATTTCCCGGAGATCCTTTGACGGCGTTAACCGTTTCCACGACGTCGTGTTACACTTCGCAGTTTCTTCGCGCGCTGCTGTTTTGATTTTATCGAAAATCTTCATCCCCCTCTCCTCCCTGCCCCAACTCTGCGGAATTCTTATGTCGTGCTTACCCACTCGCGACGACTTCTTACATGCGCAACGAGCATGCATGACGAACGACTCTCGATTCTATTTCGAGAGCTTTTTATACGGCTTCACGTTCGAATCGTGTTTCCTATGGCGATGCGTTATGACAGCAAACTTCAATGAAATTTGTTTAATTGTTTAAGCATGTAGGATTTGATTTTTCTGTTCTATGCGACGATTGACTCTCGAACGGCTATGCTGGGTCGCTTTCGACACGTGTTTCCGACGATGTAAAAAAATGGGAACGAAGGGCTCGGTGTATCGGTTACGCTTGTTGCTTTTGGTATGGGTCAAAAGTGACCCGGCGGCGACCGGATCGCGGTACGAGGGTTAACAAAATGAAAATTAACTTTTTGAAAAACGCAAATTTTTCGTGAAATCTTCGCGATCGTTATCTAAAGCCTAAACCATAGTGAGCGTAATTATGTCTTTCAGATTCTTAGGTGGGAAATGTGTGATGTTTTCTTTATACAAAGTCGATCGATTTCATTGTAACAAGATTATAAATAAATACTGAATTTTTGTGTAAAATGAAAGCTTTCCGAAAAATGATCGTATGCAGCGGTGCGAATTTTTTTATTAATAAGTTTACACTGTTTTTACAGATATTTTGCATTACACAATACATCGAATTAATTTTGTGATCGCTATAGCGAAAGTCGAGAAGCGATTACATAGAAATTACAAGTTTTACCGTGTAAAACGTGAGAAATAATTTTTACTAAAGATTATTCAACGATGTCCCTTAAAAAACATTTTCCCTTAATTAAAACGTACATCTCGTGACATCTTCGCCAGAAATTTCTTTCTTTATTTTACTAAATAAATTTCTTATTTTACTAAATAAAAATAAAATTTGATTCTTCTGTTTTTAAAATCCAGGAGCGAAAGCAAATGAAAACGTGCAAGAAACAAATATCGTTTCGTTTAATTAGAGAAACGATCAAGGACGAAGAATTGCCGATAAACGTAGCTGCGAAAGAAGTTCAACGATTGTCTCTGCACCTCGGTATTTCGTTTGTTAGTCATTATCGTCGTGAATATACAGGGTGTCCCAGGTTTTAATGTTCAAACTTTGTTAGTGTATTCTATGGCACAAAGTAAGAAAACAATGTTATGTAAACATAGGTCATATAGAGCTTTATTAACACGTTCCGTGCCGAGCTTTTTTTACTCGAATCTTCACACTTTGATATTTTACTAAAACTTGATGTATTACGTGCAATTATTAATTCTCGTACACATAACAACGTAACAAAAACTTATCAACGCCCATTCTTGCGGTGGAAATTGATTCTTCGGTTCTAAATTTCTTGTAAACAATTTGTTCAGTTCACTAAGTAAACATGCAAGCGTGTACCATGGATGGTACACGTGGCACAGAACGTGTTAAGAAGTTATAACAAAAATTCAGGATAGGAATAGTAATCGACTTGCTATTACTGCGAGCATTGGCTCGAATAAATCAGCACATGCCGTGTGTTTATGTAATCTGTGTTTATTAATACATTTCGAAACGTATTAATAACCGTTGTTGACATTACATGATTGACATAGATCGAAGATGTCTTTTTATTTTTTATTTTTCTTTTAGTTGATTACCATTCCTATTCTGAATTTTTGTTATAACTTCTTAATAAAGCTCTACACGACCTATGTCACATAACATTTTTTTCATACCTTGTGCCATAGAATATACTGACAAAGTTTCAACATCAAAACCTGGGACACCCTGTATAAAAACGTACCGTCTAATCGCAAATAAAGACAAAAAGATCGTTCGTTATTCTTCGTTCGTCGGTCGCGTCGAAAATCGGACAACCGAGATTTCTAATGTCGAGGTTCAATTAAAACAGATAACCTATTAGAAATCACGCGTTCGATTATATCGAGAACTTGAATTTTCAGCGATGATTTTTCGGCTCACGTGCGAGAAGACATGCCCTTATAACCTCGCGGCGTACGATAGAACATAATACAGGGGGAAATTGAACGAATGCTCGCGTACCGTTCCGAAGCTTACATTCGAGGTGTTACGACGAAGTTACTAACTCGTGAAAAGTTTTCAATTTCATGCAGATACACATTTGTTTATATTCTTCCCCCGCATCGGCTTTTATACTCGGTTTTATACCGTCTAAATCTCGGTCCATCCCGTGTTCACCGCGTTACTCTCGTTCCTCCGTTCTTTTAAGGGGTTGTAGGTGGTAGTCCACTCTCGAGGGCTTCGCGCACGCACCACGGATACGCGCCTGCCAAGCAAGCTCTCTCTCAACTTTGTTCACACAGCACGTTGTCCGTAAACGGAATTTTCTTGGAGCTTTCGCGAAGCTCTGTGAACGGACAACACGCTCGCGCGCCCGCGCGCGCGCGCACACACACGCACGTGCAAACGTGCACAAGCGCGCACGTTCGCGCACACGTACGGAGCGTCGGCCGAGGAATAAAACGCCGCCACGTTTTTCGCTTTTTATCGTTCGTCCACTATGGCCGCTCGAGCGTGTCCAGAATTCAGTTCTCGAACATAAGTCCGAGGCGGTGTCAGGAATTGAGGATAGTATAAGTCGGTGTTTTATTTGTGTTATTGCTGCGATACCAGCCCGCGCCCCGCCGCCCGCCCTCTTCCTATTCCGCCGACTTGCTCGCATTTACTTTGCTACAAATCATGCGACGCTTTGCAATAATGCGCTTCCGCTTTGAAGCGCAAAGCCGGGGAGCCGAGTGAACGCTTGATAAACGAACTAAATATTATTCCGTAAGGATTTGATCGATCCAATGTTTGCTGATATCCGTAACGCGTTGATCACTGGGCAGTAACGCGTGAAATAAAGCACACGGACTTTTGGTTGAAACGATGCTTAACCCTTTCAGGACCTGGAAAGAAAAATCGAATTTAAGGAAATTTAGTGAATTAATTATTCTTGAGAGGAATTCGAGTGTTCTATGGTTGCTGGTGGGACGCATGTAATTTGAAAATCTATTATCGAAGTCTCCTTGTCGAAATTAGGGAGGTTTTGTTGCTTGAACACTGTTCGTACACATATTAATAACAATTATTTGAATTGCAAATATACGTATATAACATGTGCCAATAATGTGAATCACGTTAAACGTATTCATTATTTTTGAAGATGTGCAAAAAGGGTTTAAAAAATCGTACAGTGGGAGGAAGATTACTATCATAATATAATAGTAACATTCAGTTTGTGGATGAATAAAATCTCCCAGAGATTTTAGAACCACCATAGCTTTCTTTCGAATTGTTTGTGATACGTTTTTATTCCTGGTGCGTATTTAGGCGATTTCAGCAAT